GTATGTGACCTACACATGTGACCAAACATATATCGTTTAATGTGAATTTAATCAAGATACCAGGACGGAGTTTCCCAAAGAGAGTATATTTCCGCACTGAGCACTGAACATAGAGGTGATCAAGAGACGACATGCTACAGTGTAGTCAATTTAGGGGAGCGGATCGTCAGATTGGTCAAGGGAAGTGCTGAATCAAACCTAACGTTGCTGGGTCAGTGGATGATTCAAGTGTGGCCATTGGAGTAGATCGAGAACGGGAGCAGTTGGGTCAGGGTCCAGTGAGTAGTAGCCAGGAGACAATGGGTGAGCACTTCTAGGTGCACAGGTTGGAGAAAGACAACTAAGCTCCGTGGGCCTGATTGACCACCGCAAGAGTCGTAGAAGTAGGTGAAGGGGCAACAAGGACCAACCATGCAGTTGTAGGATGCTGATCGAATTCCGTCCGCAACAGCCGGATGTCCAAAGCCTCGCTACTACTTTGTTAAATATTTTAAAAGTTTCAAAGAGATCCGCCCTGTTATGCCTGGTTTGCAGTGTTGTTAGCCCAGTGGCCCTCAATCGTTTCTGATACGAGAGATTGACAGCTCTCGAATGATTTTTGTTGCCCGGTGTTGCACCTTCTCCAGAGCAGCTATGTCTTTCTGAAGATGAGGTCTCCATGCCTGGATGCAATAAGCCAGGTGGGGGCGCACCAGACTTATATTACTGAATGACTTTTGTTTTTTTACAGCCACTTGTGCAACTTTAGTGACTGATAGATTCTGACTCCAAGATCCTTTTCTTCATATCTGTTGTAAGGTAGTGTTGTGAATTTGGTAGTTGTGACGTGGTTTGTTATGCTCCACATGCAAGGTCCTGCATTTATCGACATTAAAAAAAATCTGTCTTCTGACCATTGGTGTGGTCACCTGCTCTGCTCTGCACTTTCGCCCCCCCCCCTTTCAACTGTCATTCAATCAACTGTAACTAACTACTACCTAACTGATTTTTTTTTACCACACATACACACATCCAGGAAGCAGCTCCGCAACAGCTGTCTAACTCCCAGGTACCTATTTACTACTAGGTAACAGGGGCATCAGGGTGAAAGAAACTTTGCCCATTTGTTTCTGCCTGGTCCGGGAATCGAACCCGGGCGACAGAATTACGAGTCCTGCGCGCTGTCCGCTCAGCTACCAGACCCCTGGTGGGGGGGGGGGTGTGTGTGTGTGTGTGTGTGTGTGTGTGTGTGTGTGTGTGTGTGTGTGTGTGTGTGTGTGTGTGTGTGTGTGTTCGACGTTGGAGGAGGATGGGGAGAAGAACGTTGTGCGTATTAGTGGCTTTAGGCATAGTATATACTAGCTCTACCTAGAAATCCAATATTCTGCTTGTAACTCATTTTGTTTATATATACTTTTACCTAAATAAACTATTATTATTATTATTATTATATAAAAGAGAAAATTGGGTAGATAGGGGTAGAGGGGTGAGGAGTTGGGGGAAGAGGGGCTGTTGCGGGGAATACCAACACTTTTATGAATAAAATTTAAACTAAGAAATAGGTCCTTGTGCACAACAACAAGGATGTTATGAAAAAGAACAAGAATTTCTGTTTTGTACCTGACAGAAATCTCCATCTAACTGAATAATTTACTCGAATAAGAGGGCAGAGCAGTGTATCATTATTTGTGTCACGGCAACCCCCAATAATAACGTCACAAGTTAGGTAGCTAGCCCATTTTTATATAACATCTGTTACATCCTGCAATATTTAATTATCACTTTATTAACACTTTAAATAATTAACACTTCACTTTTTTTTATAAATTAAAGTTAAAGCAGAATTCCATAAGCAAGACTGGTGGGCTGAACTAAGATGATTTACTAAGTGGATGGCACCTATAGCTAATCCCTTCCTGTGATTAGCTGTTGTGTGAATGTCAACAGAGAGTTTCTACCAATGATATGTCATCATTTTTTTATTATGCACCCCATATCCATCTTGTGGGCGGAGCTTGGAACCTCCTACCCGAGCACAACAACCCGCCTTATGGGTTGCTGTTTGGCTATTTATAGTGCGTTGGAAAAAAACAGATGGCGTTAGTTGTATTTTGTAGGATGATTTGTTATAAGTGTAATATGATGTCAACAATTGGCGTAAGCTGTATCTTATGACCACTGTTGACCAGCCAGTTGATAGTGTTCTTATCTTCCGACAGATGGCATCAGCTGTATTATTATTATTTTAATAATATTATTACATTAATAATAATGTATTATTATTACTTTAAACACTGATCTATACGTCTGGTAGCTTATAACAAGGTTTTATATCATGCTGGTATTAGGTAACTAGAATTCTGCAATTACTTTTTTTTATCTACTGTTGAGGATATGTAAGACAAATGTAAGGTTTTGAGGCTAAGTAACGAAGATAGTTACAAGATACGAGCCAGATGGTGTTGAGATTGCAAAAGGGATTATGATTAGAACTTAAGCCAAAAAAAAACAATGCGTAAATGTTCGCAAATATGAGACTGGGATTTATTTCTCGAAAAATTAGCAATAAAATACGCTTTTTAGTTCTTTATTTTTAAAATTAAGACCGGGGATTCTGTCTAACGAAGCTGCAAGCTAAAACACCGTTATCCTATAATGTTCATCTGTAGCTTGACCCTAAATACTCGTTTATTAAACGAATTTATTGTTAGAGTTCATTAGGAATCAACTTTGTTGAAGGCAGAGTTTCCAACAAATACCTTCCTGTGATTGGCTGTTGCGGGGACTGCCAACGCTTATATGAATAAAATGCAAAATAAGAAATACGTCCTTTTGCTCAATAACCTTGTTGTTGTACAAAAGAACAACAATTTCTGTTTTATACAAGACAGAAATTTCCATCTAACTGAATAATGTAAACCAATAAGAGGGCGGCGGCATTGTATCGCCGATATTATTTGTGTGAGCTAGGCAACCCCCACTGATGCCGTCACAAGTTAGATAGCCAGCCCATGTTTCTGTAACACCCGTTACATCCTGCAGTATTTAATTATCACTATATTAATACTTTTAAATACTTAACATTTCACTTTTTAGATAGATTAAAGTTGAAGTAGAATGTCATAAGCAAAGATGGTGTGCTGAATAAAGATGATTTATTAAGTGGATGGAGCTTTTAGCTGATCCCTTCCTGTGATTGGCTGTGGTGAATGTCAACAAAGAATATCTACCAATGATATGCCATTTATTATGCACCCCATATCCATCTTGTGGGCGGAGCTTGGAACTTCCTACCCGAGCACAACAACCCACCTTATGGGTTGCTGTTTGGCTATTTATAGTGCGTTGGAAAAAAAACAGATGGCGTTAGTTGTATTTTGCAGGGTAATTTGTTATAAGTGTAATTTGATGTCAACAGATGGCGTAAGCTGTATCTTATGGCCACTATTGACCAGCCAGTTAATAGTGTTCTTATCTGCCGACAGATGGCATCAGCTGTGTTATTATTACTTCCGAATTCCCTTTAAACACTGATCTACAAATCCCTTGGCTTATGATAAGGTTTTATACCATTTATGATAAGTATTAGATAACTGGAGTTCCGCAATTACTTTTATTTATCAACTGTTCAGGATATCATCATATAACGTCTTGTTAGAACGTACTGCTCTCGATTGATGAAGATTAATTAATGTTTGAGACAATAAAAAAATACATCTCAAAGGGATAATTTAACTTTGTTTAATTTGTTCTACCATGAACACTCAAATCACGGAACTATTTACTCTACCCACCATGAGAGTAAGGACAAGACCAGAACATAACGATGCCAACACAGAAGACACTGTTCAACATAACAGGCCAATTACACCTGATTAATCTTTGTATGTAGATAGGAGCTGCCTTGTATGGGCCAATAGGCCTTCCGCAGTTACCTTTATTCTTATGTTCTTATGTGCTTCATCCCCCATTTATCCCTTATGTATCCCCCATGTTTTTACCTTTATTGTCTTATCACCTGACCCAGTGCGGGTATAAATCAACCAGTTCTGAAAAAAAAAAATTTCACCACTGACACGGTCCGGGAGACATCTCCCATCACGCTGGGTGCAGTCGCGCCTCCACAGATCTCGAGTATCAGCTCTTGATATTGGTAATGGCTCAAAAGGGCCACCACTTACGGGCTATTCATGCCCGTGCCACCTTTTGGGTGGCTTAATCTTCATCAATCAAATTCTTTTCCATGCAAGGTGCAGTCGTGCCTCCACAGATCTCCAGTATCATCTCTTGGTACTGGTAATGGCTCAAAAGGGCCACCACTTACGGGCTATCCATGCCCGTGCCACCTCTTGGGTGGCTTAATCTTTATCAATCAATCAATCAAATTTTTTTAACTTGAGAATGAACCATGGAGGTTCGAAACGTTGTGCAAATTTTATAAATAAGTGTAATACATTCTATAGTAATTCACTTTTTTCTTCACCTTGAAATTACGAAAATGAGTTTTGGAGAACTCCTCTTTCAGCTAGAAAATTGAAACAGGAATTTCCTTAAGTACTTTCGTATATTAATACATCTTCAGAAGGAGTCTCCTTCTGAAGATATATATATATATATATATATATATATATATATATATATATATATATATATATATATATATATATATATATATATATATATATATATATATACGTGTGTGTGTGTATGCAGAAATAATAATAATAAAACAATTATCATCGTGTAGTGTACTCTATATATGAAAATATATTACTACGAAACCCATATCATTCACTTAAAAAAATTGGGCTACTCTTATTACAAATTCGCTACTTTTAAACCGTCAGCTCGCTACTTTCAGCAATTTAGATCTGGCAACCCTGAGCAGATGTACCACAAGCGGAGTTGAAATTGACGCTGAGGGCCGGAGATATTCAGGTATTTACAAGATTTTGAGTGAATGACAGTTGTTAGTGTTGAAGTTCTGGGTTTATCAATGTGCCGAGATAATGGGGCATTTGTAAGGAGATGTGTGAGATACTCTATATTAGAGTAAAGGTAAAGGAAGGCGTCCACGGAGAAACTGTTGAAATGTGCAAGTAAGACTTGGTCAGCCTTACTTGCATATTTTCAGGTATGCTTAAAGAAGCATCACTGCTTAAAATTAACCATACAGTACTTTTATCATTTACTGTGTAGCAATTATTATTTGTATTCATAAAAAAATATACATAGGATATATTACATGTTTTTACGTAAAGTTTTGACTATCATTGATTCCATGTATGACTAATCATCATGAGAATGTTAGATGAACTTATAACTAGTTTTTGATCTACACTGTGTAATCTTTCATATAAAATAGGGTAGCAGAACAGTGCTGTGCATGCATAATCTAGTTAATAAATAGAAAAGCAAAGTTTTGATATTTTTTATTACTTAAGAATATAAAATTGTTTAAACATCGTACCAGAATGTGTCATAATACCATTTCCAAGAGCAGTTGCCATTGTATTAGCTAAATAGGTCTTAGCATAAAGGGTGACTAATCCTGTAATAAGTGGCGCTCGCCCACAGAAGCTGGTAACCTGCAGTTCCCTAGACACTGCCTGGTGTATCACTCCATAAACCTCACACTAGAATAATAAGCAATTAATAATGTCATAACAAAAAGTCTTTATATGTTATTTTTAATATATATATATATATATATATATATATATATATATATATATATATATATATATATATATATATATATATAATATATATATATATATATATCGTACAGCATGAAACCTCTATTTTGGCCTCCTTTGAATGACAATTTTTTTAAAATTCAATTCATATCATATATATATATTATATATATTATATATATATAATATATATATATATATGAATTGAATTTTAAAAAAATTGTCATTCAAAGGAGGCCAAAATAGAGGTTTCATGCTGTACGATAGTGGAGGATTTATTGGCATGCCATTTGGCAATGTGACACAGTTCCTCCATCTTGTTTTTCCATTAGTCACGACTACCTATCAATGTTTGTTGCAGTAGGATCCAAAACCTGTACTGGTAGATATCCTGGGGATGTCATACCTTATATATAATGCAACATTTTGTCTCATGATTTTGTTAGGATAAGTTGGGTTGGGTTAGGTTTAAAGAGTACCAATGATATAGATACTGGTGAACTGATAAATTGCTAGGCTCACTTTTAATCATAGGGTTAATCTTTGTATGCTGAGTAGTAGCTTCTCTTCATGGTGCAAGTATGGAAGTGTAATCACAATATGTGATTATGGTGCTGCTCTGTAACACCAGCATGGTACGTGCAGTGTGTCGATACGATTCCTGTTAAAATTGTATCACCACATAAGTAATGCTAAAAATGTAGGATACATAATTTTAAAAAAGTGATTGCAGTATCAAGAAGAGTATTAATGAAAATATTAGCTTCACAGCACTAATACTGTATACTATATGTGGTTAAGAATACTAATTTAATTTGTAAGCTTTGGAAAAGGCAAAACCCAGCCACTTGGACTGGACTCGCTTCATGCAGGTCGGCGTTCAATCCCCCGTCCGTCCGAGTGGTTGATCACCATTCCTTCCCCCCTTCCCATCCCAAATCCTTATCCCGACTCCTTTCAAGTGCTATAAAGTCGTAATGGCTTGATGCATTCCATTGATAATTAAAAAAAATTAATTTGGGAAAGGCATTTTTAAAAATGATTCATAAGAAAGGCTGGTTAGAAATGTTTTAATACATTTTTCAATTATTTCTTATTTTCCATTGCAATGATGTATTAAGAACTATCAAATTTTACAGGCAGTTCATCTTCATAATTGTCAAAGATGTTGGACTGGTTCTATGTGGTATCAGCACTTGTTGTTGTGCTGCATCTGCTAGCAGATTGCTGCACGCTCTATTGCAGCATCTTATTGATAAGCTTCCTAGCTTATATGAGGTAAGGAAACCTGCAGTTTATACATTATCATTCAGTTATGTGCATATAATAATGGTTGTAAAGATAACTTCTTTTATTTTAATTTGTTTATCGTCATTAATACAAACTTCAAAAGTAGATGGATGAAGTGTTGTAATCATTATGATACATTGAGGGTGGAACCAATTTGACAAGTATTGTACTTCTTGTAGACCCAAGCAGTGACAATATGGTTTCCACATAGTCAGGGACAGGAAGGCTTTTATTGTAAATTCATTTAGGTCCACCCTCCCCCTTGGCCAGCTACTGACCTTCCAGAGGATGTAACAAACACGACCTTTTGCTTGGGACCCACCTGCATACATACAGGACCTGATCATTTTCTTATAGAACTTCAGCTTGGAGCCAGTGGCTGAGTTGACAGAACACTGGATGTGTGATCCTGTGGTCCCTGGTTTGATCCTGGGCGCCGGCGAGAAACAATGGGCAGAGTTTCTTTCACCCTGATGGCCCTGTTACCTAGCAGTAAATAGGTACCTGGGAGTTAGTCAGCTGTCACAGGCTGCTTCCTGGGGTGGAGGCCTGGTCGAGGACCGGGCCGTGGGGACACTAAGCCCCGAAATCATCTCAAGATAATAATCTCAAAATACTTTATATTTACATAATTTATTGTCCATTATTTTAGTTATTTAATTTAATTTTTTTTTTACTTTATCTTATTATTTTAATTATGTCTATCTTGGACATGCTGTAGCAACTGGATTAAGAGTAATAGAGTTGCTTTAAGTTCTTAAAAGTTTGTTGTGGTTAATTAAATGTTCCCATTAATTGCACATTAATGGTTCATAATAATAAATCTTTCTGTTGTGTTTTTTCAGGTTCATATATCTTCCCGCAGAGTGTGATCTTGTCCTTTGGTTTTATGAACGCTTTGGCCAGCCAGTTGGCAAGTTGATTCCTTAAAACTGTTTACAAAATTTTATTTAGTTTTTATACACTATGTGTATATATATATATATATATATATATATATATATATATATATATATATATATATATATATATATATATATATATATATATATATATATATATATATATATATATATATATATATATATATATATATATATATATATATATATATTATATATATATATATATATATTATATTATATATATATATATATATATATATATATATATATATATATATATATATATATATATATATATATATATATATATATATATATATAAAGGGGACCTTCAACAAGCGGCTTCCTGTCCTTGTTGAGGCCACTAGGGTTAGTGGCCCTCAGGTAAGTGAGGTAAATATATATATATATATATATATATATATATATATATATATATATATATATATATATAAATATACTGTACAGTATTTTATATAAAATACAAAGTGAAGAATGTATACCTCCTAAGTACATTACTGTACTTCGATAAATAATAATATGGATGTATTATGTATGTAATGGATAATCATTCCTAGAAAAACTTACTTTAATTATATTTTCTGGAGGATCCCCTTGGTGGCTCACTGAATCTATTTTGCTGAGGTGGCTTCCCCATACTGAGCAATAGGAATCTGATTTGACCTACCGGAGACCAGAGCCAGAACCTGGTACCCTCATGGAGGCACAGGGTAATATAATTGTTACGATAACCAACACAGAGAGAGAATCCAGAAAATAAGCAAAACAATACAAGCATCTATATATTTCACATAAAGTGTAGCACCAAAACAGCCATAGGACTCTGCAAATGACTCACTCAGTTCTAGCTCAAAGCCCCTAGAGAGCAAGGCTGCCAACAGGTGGTGCCTTGGGAGCTCCTAGCTCTTGAACCTCCAATGAGCCAGTCCTGTAGCTAATGTGTAAGCAATCAGTTTCCAGTGTTGGCGAATCCCACTTCTTTGTACTTTATCATGTGGGAGCCATTTGGTTGTGTGTCGTTCTGAACCTTAATATTTGCTTCATATGTATGTTTACAAACCTCACTTCTTGTATGGAAGATTTTCCCTTGTTCCAGGATTGTTTCTTCAAGGCTTTTTTTTTTATTGACTCTTGCATCTGGGTGTTGGGTTGGGGAGCTTCATGCTCTCCTCTGGAAGCAGGGGTCTTGTTCTTTTGGCCCTGACGGTCATTTTCTTCATTTACAGTGCTATCTTTTTCTGGCTAAGAATGAAACAATAGGTTTCCAGAGGGATACCATACTTTGATAATTGATACTAGATTAGTTTGGCCTGCAATGCATCATTTATTATGTCTAGTTGCAGCTGTTATCACCCTGCCACTAGTGGTGCACAGGGGTAACACTGTGGATCCGGTGTCTCTGGTTCCATGTTCCAGGGTTTGTTTGTCTAAAAGTTCTCGGCAGTGCCATAAAATGTTGCCTGTCTGTGGTCTACCCTTAGGCTGATAGTGTGCACAAGTTTACGACGTTGTCCATGGTGTTTCCAAATGTCTTGGGCAGATATTTGGGCTTGGGTTTGGCCAGTCCAAGAGGGTGTTGGCAGTTTGTTACTTTGCAAACGTTCCTGGTCTGCGTTGGGCTTGTGTGGCTTTAGGATGGTTAGCTCATCACTAATTTCCCCATCATAGGGGTTACTTCTACAGCTTATCTTTGCCCCTGGTGAGCTACCCTTTGTCTTTTCTTTGTGGTGACATAGCACCAAGGAGCACCTATACCAAAAAACTAGCATTGAATGTAATGAAAAGTGGCTCTGGTGGCTCCTTGGGGCCTTCCCTTTCCCAATTAAGGGACTTTGGTTTTCCTGGTTTTGTGACTGAAGGGATATGGGTTGGTAATTCAAGGAGGAATGTGCATTAAAATTACTTCATCAAGTAGTTCATAAATCTCAGGGGTTTGTTGTTCTGTTTTCTATGGTTTTTCCATGATGTCATCTGTTTTAACTCCATTCCTCCCTCTCTGGTGGCATTTCCTGATTAGGGGGATTTGTGCTCCCCTGATCCTTGAACCTCTATAGAGGGAGGCCAGGTTTTGGCCTCTAGTTTCTGGAAGGCTTATTTATAACTCGATAGGACCTGGAGACATGGACTAAATTTTGTGGAGCTTGCCAGACAGCAAACACCAAGGAACCACCGAGACCTACCAGAAGGAAGCATTTCGTTACAATTTTTTTTTAATTATTAATGCTGCCATTTATGATAACTCAATACTGTATTGTATAAAATAATTTAAAATATCTACAACTTTTTTCTTTTTGGCCACAAAAGAAAACATATTTTTGTATCTTCATATTTTACCATTTTTTTTTTGTCCTCCAGCACAAAGAACTTGTTAGAAAGTTATAAACAAAATTGTATACAGTTATTATTACTTACAAAGTTTTAAATATTTGTTGTCTTTAGAAAGCCTCAAAGGACGTGTTGTGTGGATCACCGGAGCTTCAAGTGGAATTGGGAAAGCCCTGGCTATTAGATTAGCTCAAGCTGGAGCCAGGGTTGCCTTATCTGCACGATCATCAGAAAGTCTCAACCAAGTCAAGGAGATGTGTATTAGTGAGTTGATTTTCATTAATTGTTTGCAATACAGCATTCCAAGAAATTATTCCTCCCATTAAATATATTTTACATGTATTTCTTAAATATTTACTGTAATTCCTTCTACAGTTTAAATTCTAGATTGACCCTCATTCCATTGTTGTTTCAATTTATTGATATTGGAAGGAGTATATTTTTACCCAGTCCTATATTCACATTCATTGTAGCATTTTTACATTTTATGATCCAACAGAAGCAGTGATTTTACCCATATTTCACTCTTTATTTTCCCTCTATTGTTTTAAATTTATTTCTACACTACAAATTTAAGTGTTAAGTCATCACATTTTTGCCTTTTAATTACTGTATATATATACTACAGCAATATCAAATACTTTTCTCTCCAGTTTCAATACAAAGCTCATAACAGCATTCATCAATTTAACACTCTGTGTTGGACTCGGTCAGTACTTTCTAAAATATTTTTGTGCTCTCAGTATAGTACCAAATCATAGTATAGTACCAAATCATTGGCAAAAAGACTTATCACCATAACCCATTACCATTTAACCTGGTCCAGTTTTTCTTCTACGATGTTTGCCCTTTCTTCATCTGTGGCAGTTTCATTCGATAATGCATAAAGAGTCGCAGAGGAATTGGACAATTGTTTGTTGTGCTTCACTTAATTTTTTGGCAGTTTTACTCAGTTTTAGCTCAATTTCATATTATTGTGCTTCTCTTACCTCTTGGTGGGGCTGTGTAAGTCCAGAGGCCTGGTAATTTTGTGGATGTCTGTGGTTCCAGAACCAACACACTAGGAAACTACTTAATTAGGCCTCTCAAAAAAGTTATTTTCATTACATTCAATACTTGATATTTAAGGTCTCTGAATGTCACATATAACTATTTAAAATGTCTGTTTCAGAATCTGGAGGAGTGAAAGAAAATGATGTCTTGGTGCTTCCTCTAGATATGATTCAATATGACCAACATCAAGCAACATTTGATGCTGTCATCAAACACTTTGGTGAAGTAAATAAACTAATTTTGCTTAAAGCCATTATGGGACTATAAATATTACCCTTGATAGTGACTCATAAAGTCGGAGATACAGTAGTTTCTGTTGAGCACCTACCAAACCAACAGTGAGGGAGGGAATTGTCAAGCGAAAGCACCAAGCCATAACAACTATATAGCACTTGGATAAGAACTTGGGATGAGACGGGGAAGAGGAATGGTGCCCAACCACTTGGACGGTAGGGGATTGAACGCTGACCTGCATGAAGCGAGACCATCGCTCTACAGTCCAGCCCAAGTGTTGGAGAGAGAGACCAACAGTGAATGGCAACAATAACCCTGCCAGATATAGGTTGAAACATATTACGACTGCTCAGATCACAGGAACATTTTGTGTATAAGATGAATATCTAGAAACTATTTATTCTTATCTTGTATCTTATCTGATTCCAATAGAACATTACGGTTTGGATCTCATAGTACAATTGGGTTCATTCTCGCCTCACAATTGGGGATTCCAGGTTCAATTCCTGAGTGAGACAGAAATGGTTGGGCAAGTTTCCTTTCATCTGAAACCTCTGTTCACCTAGCAGTAAATAAGTACCCGAGAGTTAGGCAACTGTTGTGGGGTTGCACCCTAGAGAGGGTTGGTAGTTCAACCTTTGGGGACTGCAACACAAGCCTAAAGTACTTACACAGGCTTCCTGTTCCAAAATTAATTAATTATTATTGAATTATTAAATAGCAGATATGTTTAACCTTTGACCATAAATTAGGTGGGTAGAAATAGCCTAAGCTACTCTATCCCTTTGAGATGTATTTCTTTCTTGTCTCAATAAACATACTTGAACCTTAATTATAATATAGGGTACCTTAGTATATTAGTATTTTTGCTGTTTAACTGTATTCTAACTTGTATATCTAACACTAGTACATTTTTTGATGAGAAATCTTCATACATTACATTTTTATTTCACTTTCCCCACTCTTTGGGGGGATAGAAATGAAAAAGCTTCACCTTGTTAGTAAATTTTTAAATCTAGTTTATTTCTTGCCATTTTTTCAGCTGGACATTCTTGTCAGCAATGCTGGACGCTCACAACGTGGACGCTGGGAAATGATAGACATTGATGTGGATCATGAAATATTTGACTTGAATGTCTTTTCACTCATTTCACTTGCTCGCATTGTCTCCAAATATTTCCTAGAGAAAGGCAGAGGTCACCTAGTTGTAACCTCAAGCACAGCAGGCAAGCTTGGGGTGCCTATGTCAGCTTCTTACACAGGATCTAAGCATGCAATCCAGGTAAGATAATGTAACAAAACTTTATTAATACTACATAATTTCATTTACCTTTGAAGTCATTGTGTTGTTGATGACTTTCATTTATCAGGTACTATAGCAGTCCAATAAACAAATATTGTACTTTAAATGTATGTAGGAAGAAAATTAAAAAAATTGATCACCTTGAAAATTATATGTGCAATTTAGATTGCAGTACTGAAAATGGGATTAATAACCCATCCTCCTGTTTAGATAATACCTATTGTGAAGATCGTCAATAGTCACGAATTTATACGTACTTAGCTTTTAAGATAGTATACTGACTATTAAGGCATTCTTTTAGAATAAATGAAGCTAAAAACAAACTGAAATATTCCTAGGCCTAGTATAGCGTACACATGTACTATATTAGGCCTCAGATATCGTGTATTAGGCCTAGGAAGGTTAGGTTAGTTTAGTTTAGTTTAGTTTAGTTTATCAAAGCAACACAAGTAAAAAATAGTTTTCTGGTTTGTCCAACTCAATAGTTCAGATTTCTACTTTCTAATTTTGTTGTATGTCGGTAGATATACTATGGTCCTCATCATTACCACAAATACTACCAAAACAGTATTGGGAAAACTACTGAGCATATTTAAAACCAAACTCTATGGTTCATTTTATTTTTGAGAGTCTCTGGTTTTCATTCTCTATTATGGGTACTTTTTCCTTTTAAAAGGAGATTTCAAGACTATTGCATAGGAAAAATGCTAGATGTAGTTTAAATCTCTTTACAGACAGGTTCTCTTGGTAGTTGTAATATGACAGGTTGAAATTTAAATTTAGCTCGGTGAACTCAGCCCTTAGAGTATCGGAAATATTAGGTAACTATAAATAAGGCTCCAATCATGGATTTTATGAGTTTTGTAGATGGACTCAACATTACAAGAAACAGTTGAGGTCTTGGAAAAGCTATTGGGGATATTTAAAACCAAATTCTATGTTTTTTTTCTGAGTTCACATGGTTTTTCTTCACTCAGATACAGCCCTGTTGCTTTTTGAAAACAAGTTTTGAGGGTGAAAATGTGAAAAATAAGCTAGATGTGGTTAATTGTTGTTCATTTGGTAGTTATCTATTATATCATAGGTTGAAATTAAAATTTTGCTAAGTGAAATCAGCCCATAAGGTGTGGGAAATGCATCCTGGAGGCAAGTCTGGTTGTAATGAATCCGGGTTGGTCCCATATAGTTCGTTGAATCGAGGTTGTACTGTACAGTAATTGTATTTCTCTGTGGGGGTGTGTATTTCTGTGAACTCTATGGGCAGATTTTGGCATTTGAAAATCTTAAACCATCTTTTCTATACATTATACACATTTGTAAAGTGTGTCATAATGCTATAACATTGTTTCTTAATATTTGTCTTTACCCGGGCAGTATGACTGCACTGGTAATTTATTAAAGATAAACTCATTTGATTGATCAGATTAACTGGTCTAAATATAAAATGTTATTTCAGGGATATTTTGAATGTTTACGAACTGAGAAGGCAGGACTGGGATTAGATATCACTATTGCCTGCCCAGGTCCAGTTGATTCCAACCTTCTCCAAGTCTGTGCTACAGAAAACAAAGGAGAGGTAAGTGCAGTTGACACACAAAAACGTTTTTATTCATTATTACCGTTGCAAGAACTGAACCCTGTGGTACTTTACTCATGACATTTCTCCAGTCTTATACATTACCTCTGATTACTGCTTTTTTTTTTTTTGTCTTGAAACCTTAATTGTTTACAATATATGTACTGTAAATGACTTGGATGCTCCGGCTGTTGATCTGTTAAAAAGTTACTGAGTAACATTATAAAAATGCCTGAGTGGTTGGTTATAAAAAGGAGTATCTTGCAGATTGCTTTATTCTTATGTGTATATTGCATGCTATTCAGGCAGGAGAGGCAGTTGAGCCTTGTAAGGTTATACTAGCTTGAAATTGTTCTGGATTTAAGAAAGCATTTATTAAATACCCAGTACAGAGTTTATTAATATATAAATTCTTGTAAAGACATTAGCATGCATAGCATTTCAGGCAGGTGCTTTATCCTAATTTTTCCCCTGAATATGACTCGCTAAATCATTTAACAACCAGGTACCCATTCACTACTGGGTGAACAGAGGCCACAGTTAAGGATTGGTGCCCAGTCAATCCTCCCTGGCCAGGATACGAAACCCAGGCCAAAGCATTTGCGTAACACCGGGCGAATGTTTTACCACTGCGCCATGGGGACTACTAAGTATTATCTAACATTATGTCAAAAAATATGGATAAAATGTTGGCGGGTAAATAGCAGGCTGAATTGCATTTTGTTTTTAATTACAGACGCTTGGACAAGAACGTATTGGCAAGAGGATGTCTGCTGAGCGATGTGCTCATTTATATGCAGTGTCTATTGCTAACAAACTTCCAGAAGTGTGGATAGCTGATCAGCCAGTCATCACTCTGATGTATCTGAGCCAGTATTTACCATTCTTGATTAAAAGGTAAGTAGTGCTTTAAATTCAGGCTCATAAGTGTCACAAAAAATTAAAATTAAAATACTGTATTAAATTAGCTAAAAATTAGGTCTTTGAATGTTCAATATATATATGAAAATCTAATTTCTGAGACTCGCCAGTAGGCAAGATATTATTGTCCCATAGACAGAATCATGCTTGTCATAGCAATTAGCATTCTGTACCAGTGGGGTAGAGATCTTTTAAAATATTCCTGTTAGGTAATATTAGTCCTAGGGATACACTAGGAGTTCAGTCCATCCCAGAATGACCTCTACAAGTTTCAATCATGTACTATACAATACATTCAAAGCGCTTCCAAATGGTGTTTCTTGCACCAATTTCAATTCAATGGCTTCAAATGGTGTTTCAATGGCTTCCAAATTCCAAAAAATGCAGGGGTGCCATAGGCACTATTAGGGAACACTGTATAAACATCAGAGGTCCACGGTTGTTCAACATCCTCCCAGCGAGCATAAGAAATATTGCCGGAACAACCGTGGATATCTTCAAGAGAAAACTAGATCATTTTCTCCAAGGAGTGCCGGACCAACCAGGCTGTGGTGGATATGTGGGCCTGCGGGCCGCTCCAAGCAAGAGCCTAGTGGACCAAACTCTCACTAGTCAAGCATGGCCTCGGGCCAGGCATGGGGAGTAGAAGAACTCCCAGAACCCCATCAAGCAGGTATCTTGGTGAAGGAACGACTAAGAGCAAGAGAATTAATACTTGACAACCCCTGAGTAACACTCGGCCACTAAGAAATTGACTAAAAATCTCCCTTGGCCTTCCTTGTATCATAAATGGGACCTTCCTAAGCTGTCTTACACATTGGCCATCTACAATGACTCATGGTTATTTAATGGAAAGGAAACTTGACTTGTCTCTTTTAAGATGGCATATCTTAGTTAAATGTTCTTTTTAAGATATGAAATTATGCTTTCCAACAATTTACAAAACTAATTGTTTAATACTTTGCTCAATGATTCAGGCTCTTTTTTAATACAGGTAACCCTTGTCTTATTTTGCACTAATATCAGCATTTTGAATAATATTTAATTCCTTAGATTGAATTGTACATTAAAGTACTACATACAGTAGTAATACTGGTGTATCGCACCTTACCTTATTACTAGTCCACTCATCCTTATGCTACAGTCGTACATATCCTTGTTGAATGTCCTGACTTCCAGGATGAGCTTGTCTTGCTTTCCGACCGTCCCTCGATAGAATTCTTGGTGAATCAGATACTTTTGATATCATTCGTCGTATATGTTTCTGTTCTCGTATTGGCATCCTTGGTGATATTTAGCGCCATCTGATTATTCTGCACATTTGCTGGTGCTTCATAGCCTTCCCGGGTTGGTGCCTTCTTTTGATAATTACTTGATTAATTAATTTGATAATAACTCATCCTTATGCCCCTTCAACCTTAACCACTGGTTCCCTCATTTTTACTTCACTTCTATGTTCCCATACCTCCTTCGTCTTCCTATCCCTTCTCTCCCTCAACTTTATTCTTTTAGCTTTACCCCTACTGCCCATTAAATCCTACATTATCCTTGTACTGTATTGCTCTTTCATTTATTTTCTTTACTCCATGGTATCTTTTACTCTTTCAACATTGCACCTTATAACTGCTTCACTTTTAACCTTCCTCGAACTTCCCCACCTTTATATTGTGGTGCTCTTTGCAGAGTCATGCAGGTAATTCCATTGAAGCTGATCATGAAATTGCGAGATGGCAGAGATGATGCTGCCCAGCTCACTGGCACAGAAAAAAAGTCATAGAAGAATGAAAATCTTAAATTGATGGACTAAAAATTCCTGAAGAAGAAACGGAAAATGTGAGACCTGCGGAACGTCTTGGAAGATGAATCAAAATAAATAAAGTATGTGATTTTTTTATTATACATTTTATAATATTAAAGGTCTTTAGAAATAGTATGTTTGCAACTATTATACAGTGCCAAGGAACACAAATTTACACATTATTTCCTAATTGCTTATACCTAAAAAGTATAGAAAATGGCTTATTCCCATAAAAATTTTCTTTTGTGACTAAGACACATTTCCAATAAGAAAACATGCAAATTTGTTTCTTATTGTTTTAATTGGTATCCCTGCTGTTCAAAACGCAAAGATAGCAGGAAAACTTGGTAAAATTGCTTTGGAAATCGATCAGGAATGCCACCATCTTGAAGTCTTCCTGTGACCTCTCAGCCATACTCATCATACTTCAAGGCATCCAGCAGGGTCTTGATGCTGTTGTAATCCTCTTTGAGGTGCACCGAGTGAGTGAGGGGAAAAAAATTGGGTGCTTGTTGCCATCAAGGAGTTACTCAAGTTTTACTTGGTACTGAATCAATCTGGAATGTTCTGGAAAGTAAATAAATTTCAAAACATCACTGTCATGGTCATAAAAGCAAAAGTTTGTGGGGAATAATAACCATTTTCTACACTATAGAGGCATAAGCAATTAGTAAGAATAAGAGAACATAGGTTCAAACTAAGGAAATTAGGAGGCCAAAACCATCAATAGTTTTCAAAGCATTAAATGATAAGAGTACAGTACGGTGGAACCTTGGTTTACGAATTTTCCAGTATATGAAGTCAATTTCCTTGTAAAATTTGATTCTGTGTACTAAGTTTGCCTTGGAACACGAGTGTTTGTTGATACAGTACATGTATGGGTCGCCCAGCATGTGGGTTCTGCTGGGCACGGGGCGAGGGCACGTTCAGTTTACCCCTAATGACCGCCATCACCGCCTAGTGATGACTGTGCTTAAATTCTCTGTGAAGAATTTCATTGTTTTTCTGCTTTTTTGGTTTCTGAACATAAAAGTCCTTATTATATATCATGCCATGGGTTCCAAGAAAGTCAGTGGTAAAGTTTAACCTAAGAAAATAGTTGAGGGTGACAATAGAGGAAAAACAGAGATCATTCGTAAACATGGAGATGGTATGTGGGTTGTTGATCTAGCTAGGCAGTACAACAAATCTATATATCAACGATATGCACCTTAATTGCTAAGAAAAAGGACATTATGAGTGCTAAAGTGGCAAAAGGCGTAACAACAATCACGAAACAAAGAACACAAACACTTGAAGATGTTGAAAAGTTATTATTAATTTGAATAAATGACAAGCAGTTAGCAGATAAAGCTGAGGCAGGCTGTTGCATTAACTTTTTGAATGACAATGTGATGTCTCACTACAGACAAGTGTTAAAACTTAGGGAAAAACAAGTGTCTATAGACAGATTCTTAGTAAGACAAACAAGCACTCCAGAAATGTCATCACTGCCTGATGTTATAGTGGAAGGGGGATTCCCCTTCCAAACACTAACACCTCTCCCATATCCCCCCTCCTCACCGCCTTCCATACGCCAACAAGTCCTCAATATAGGTAAGGTATAGTAAAAAAAAAATTAGTATTCTGTATAAAATGTATTTTTGTTCATCCATTCTGCACCCCCAATAATAATAATTCGGTTTACATAATTTCTTATGGGAATCTTTGGTGTGTGAACCATCTTGAAATGCATTAAATTTGCAAACCAAGGTGCCACTGTACATGGAAGACAGGAATCATTTGGGTAATTACTAACTACCCAGGCACAAAACAAAAATGTAACAGTGTAATGTATCAAAGTATAATTTTCAGATTGTACTGTATATACTTCATAGTAATGGATTTATATTTTTCCTATATACAGTAAATATTTTTTAAATGTTAATTAGGTTTATTAAAGGGATTTTAACTGAATATGGTTTTCATCAATGCAATAGTGTATATGTTTGTACATATACATATGTACGTATGTGTGTGTATTTAAATACACAAAAACTGCTAACACCATATTGTGGTTATGAATGAAATGTTATCCACAATATGGTGGTTAGCAAATGTATATGACTAGGATGTGGATTGCCCAACACCTTCATGCCAAAGTGGCACCCCATGCAAGACCTAAAATTCCAGTTAGACAGCAGATTGGTGTCTCTGGGATCTGTCTCTATTGTGGGTGCTGGTGGCTCAGTAGGTAGAGGTGTGGGCTGTGCTTTTGTGGTTTGCAGTTCGAGGCTCTGATAGTTCAAAGTGAATGAAATATATAAATACACACATGTAGGGGGGTAGTTCTGGATTATAGACAGTCACCAGAGGACAAAAAAGAATTGTGAGTTGTCTATGCCATGCTTTCTAACCTCAGAATAATATTTCACGAACTGTGTATTTAAAAGTTAAAGAAAGTGTTCAGGACTTATGCGAGACCAAAATTGGAATATACAGAGTTGTACGGTGCCTTTATCTCAAAAAACACAAATTGGAAAAGGTGCTCAGACATGCAATTAAATGACTTCCGGAATTGAAAATCTAGCTATGAGGTGAGGCTAAAGGTGTTAAATATACTAAAGCTAGAAGAAAAAGGTGCATTATCACTGCATACAAAATAACAGGAATCGACAAAATTGACAGACTAATTCTTGAAACCTGCAACTTTAAGAACTCGAGTCAAGATTGAAAAAATGCAGAAAAACATTAAAGTTCTATTTTGGAAATAGAGTGGTAGAGAATTGGACCATCTTAAATGAGGTGTTGGTGGGTGCCACAACTGTCAGCAGCTTTAAAGCGTCTTAATGACAGTACTGGGAAGATGGGACACCACGAGCTTAGCTCTCATATCCTGTAATTACAACCATATGAGGCTATCTTCTCTGGTTTAGGCAGGTGTGGGCCCCAAGATTTTGACCTATGTGAGGATAATAAATAATATACCATTTCTATAAATTATATATTAAAATTCATATAAAGTCCTTTTATTTCATTATTAAATTTAACTTCCAAAAAGTATAGTACAACTACAAAATACTCTGAAGAATAATAGTAATGAAGGCCTCTTAAATGAATATATGGAATTTTGCTGATGTACATATCATGGGGTATTATGTAATAACATTCAACATTCATAAATTAAGGCTTGAATGCTTATGTTAATTTCTGAACACTTTCGCTGACCCGGCAGGGCACCCAAATTGCACTGGAAGGTAGGCCGAGCACACACTCCAATGTTAATCTCATTCACTCACAATGTTTATACTTAATAAGACATTGCAAAAATGTTTGCATGACTATGTTTGTCATCAGCCACTCTGCATGTTTTGGTTTTATGACGCATATTGTGGCATCAGGGAGAGAAAGTGTTAAGTAATCCAAGTACAGTACAATGATAAAATTACTCAAGACTAACAATAAAATATTGCTTCACTGCTGGGAGTACATTCTCGTTTTTGTCTAGCAAAATAAAATACATTATCTACAACTTCAATAACATACTGTCCTGTAATTTTATTTGAAACTTTATTTATAAATCAGAATTTTTACTTTACACAAGTTACAACAAAAAATGTTTGAAAGCAATTTTAAAATTTGTAAGATATGTGCACTATAAGCAATATGAAAACATATTTGAAAGTTGATAAAACTGTTTAATTACCTGCTTTAAAGCTGCAATAAAAACTCTGCTCTAACAAATTTTATGTTCCACATTTAACCCCCCCCCCCCTCACAAATGGGATTGCTTCATTGTAAATATTAGATGCACAGTGATGAACATGATCATTTACATACTTTTTTTTTTTTTTTTTTTAATCTTTGCGCCAAACATCGCATTCAATGATTTAGACGTTGTCACCCACAGCATAATCCCCCTGGCAACTTGCCAACCAGTTCGGAAAACATATGCAGCTACTAGATGCATAACTTAAAGTTTTTGTTGCTGGTAGTAAATTTTACAATATAGTATTGGGAATAAAGTATTTCAAACAATTACTGCATAAATGCTATATAAATACATTATACTAGTGCTAGTAATTATGAAAGACAACGCCAAGCCAGAAAGAATATAATACTGTGTCACAATAGTCCAAAGGTTCTCGGTATCACGCGGGATGCCAATACAAGAGAAAAATGACTGAGTTTTGTCAAAGGTATTGCATTCCCGAGGATTTTATCGAGAGACAGGTGACTCAAAGGAACATTATACCAGAGTATACTTGTACGTGACCTAATTACATAAAAATAATTAGCATAATGATATCAAGAATACCCTGCATTTTTTAGATAAATATACGATTGACATTTCAGGATGCAGTACAGTATTTCATTGTTTCCTTTAGGGAACATAATGGTATATAATATTTGAATTCATTTAAAACACAGTATGTGTACTTATAAATGAACTCTGGTGATGGGATAGGGAATAAAATAATTTACCTACTGTTGAGGTTTAGTGACATTTAAGTAAATGTTTTCATAGGCATACAATTGTATTTGAGGCATATGGTCTACACTGATGCTTGATTGGCTGTCCACAGTTTTTTCAAATTCAATGCATAACATTATTTAAAACAAAAATTACCATGCCTTGAGAGCAACTGCAAATTCAATTACCACCCAAATGTGTTGCATTTTATTTTAAAGTACCAGTGTGAATAGGCTGGGGGCTTTTGACATAAATCAACAATGATTTTATTATGAATGGACAAGACTTGCAATTCCCTATTGGTGACAAGACAAAATTGCCATCATACAACTGGTACTTAATCTTAGGAAAGCCCTAAGCTAATAATTCAAATTACTCTTATTAGCTGTATTCAATATTACTGTATAATAAACTACACAGTGATCAGTTTTGATTTTATTGGATATATTGTAGTTTCATTTATATTAAGACAAAGAATGCAAAATAGTCCCTAACATCAACAATTTGGAATGACTGAAATGGAATGTATATTGTCAAAAAAAAAAAAAAAAAAAAAAAAAAAAAATGGACTGGAAATAAAATGGCCTAGCTTATGAAATATAATGGAAAAAATCTATGCTCAAATCAAGAATGGTGCATTAATGATACAGTATTATTTGTGTGAAATTATACATGGATATATTTATATTTAAAATAATAGAATATACAAGAAATTATATTTATTAGCAAATTACAGTATGTTAACAAAAATCCACTTTCAAGCAATTATGATCGTTCATAGATTTTCAAGGGTGACATGGTTATTTATATCAGAGCACAATCTCCATAAATTCCTGGAATCCAAATTCATCATCATCTAAATCTTAATTTAACAAATTTATCACATTCAAAGTATTTTAACTATCTAGTAAAATCACTAATTCATTATTGGTATCTCATTGTAATCTTAGCCAAAGTCAGAGTATTTATATACAGACATAAGTAATATTTAGGCATCATATGTGGTTGCAGACACATTACCACCAGTGCCAGTCCAGTTAGTGTGATGGAATTTGCCTGGTGAAGCAGTCAATTCATAGGTGTGGGCTCCAAAATAGTCCCGTTGTGCCTGAAAGACCAAAAATGTAATTACTGTAAATTTAACACTTTTCTGGGTGACTTGAGCCCAAATTCTGAACAGGCACATTTCTTTTAATTAAATAATTTCTTCCTTACCTACCACATTTAAAGTAAAAATACATAATTGTTCCATTCTGTCTAGGGCAGTAAATATTGTATATCCTAACAAAATGCATTCAAAACTGAATATATATATATTAATATGAAGTATGATATTATACTTTGTGAATATAAAGATACAGTACTTGCTAAGCAGGACTAATGTTTCCTAAGGCCAGCTTGTTAAATAGTAAATTAAACAGAATCTTGACAGATGAAGCAGGCTGATATTCTAAACCAGCACAAGACTTTATTCCCCCCCTTCCCCATTTGCAAGCTCCATTCAGTGAGCTTGCAAATGGAGCATTTAAGTAGAATAGGCCAAGCAAATATAGCAAAATAAAAATATTTTTAAATATTTGACAAATTATCTAATACCTGTAATTTTTGTAATAAAACAAAAAAAATGGTACTGTATCTAAAGAAAGTATACATATACCTGAAAGTCCTTGGGTGAAGTAATGATATTACCACATGGACATACAGCAAGACTAAATTTTCCTATTCTTTAGAGAGGTAAAGGGAGTCATGTAAAAAATGTGACTATCTTTCCTAATCCATTTTTGAATAGCTCTCTAGAGTATCAACCTCTGGTTATAATACTTGAGATACACATAAGATCACTAACCTGAATCAGGTTGGCAGGAAGCACAGCAGATCTGTAGCCATCATAGAAGGCAAGTGCAGAACTGAGGGCAGGTGTTGGGATGCCAAGCAAGGCACCCTGGGCCACAACAGCCCGCCATCCAGACTGACAATTGCCAACAGCATCTTTGAAGAAATCATCCAATAACAGGTTGGTCAACTCTGAGTTCTTGTCAAAAGCCTCCTTTATCTTGCCCAGAAACACACTGCAGAGCAAAAATCAATAATCCATTTTTATTATTTTTTATATATTTTATTTATTTATACATACAAGAGTTCGTACATTCTTGTACAGCCACTAGCATGAATAGCATTTCGGGCAGGTCCTTAATCCTATTTTTTTCCCGGAATACAACCTGCCAAATTGTTTAACAACCAGGAACCCATTCACTGCTGGGTGAACAGAGGCTACAGTTAATAATTGGCGCCCAGTCAATCCTCCACGGCCAGGATACTAACCCAGGCCAAAGTGCTCACGAAACACCAGGTGACTGTTTTACCACTTCGCCACGGGGACTGCAAACATTGGTATGTGTTTATATAACATTAGAAAAGCTGATTTTTAATGAATAATTTGCATACAAAAGATAAATGATCATTAGAAGAATATTATGAAACTAGAAAAATGTTCACCGAATGTACTATAGTAGTTGCATCAAAGAAAACAATTTCTGGTCTACAGTATACATTAAAATAGATGTATAAAGCATTAATTGTAATAAAGAGATTATACAAGCACTAACTTTAACATAAAATAAAGTTGCTTTATCTTGGTATAAGAAAAAACTTTACTGCATTTGTAATTTCAAATAAAGCAATACAAAATTTAACTTGGTTGGTATTGACCATATGTACATACAGCACTCCAGTTAGGGATTAAAGTTCACTTATCACGATCAGTTAAAAACAAAGGAAGATAAGTTGCCTCTTCATAAGTTAAACTAGAAAGAAATATGAACAAATCTTACTTAGACTTTAGATGAATTCATTTACTATTTAAAGTTGGTAAATTGGTAATATGATGGGTACATATTAAGATAAAAAGGTTTATCTTATATGAAAAACAATAACCCTAAAGGAATATTAGAGCCAAAGAACATTTATTTAAGCCAACACTATTAAAACTTTTCAACTACTTTATCAATTTGAATGGAGCTTATTTGTCACCAAGCTCATAAAATTCAGGCTTTGGTGTGTACTGTATATTAAATTCTTTACTAGCAGAACAGCTGCTCAATTTGGTCATGGTTCTGCTGGTCCCATGGTGCCTGTCGGAAATTCCGACAACCATTACTAACAACTGACCTACTTAATTAAAATAGGCCAGTTCATTACTAACAATATTAATATTACTAAAATTGTTAAGGAGAAAGATTCTCTAGCAACAGAGGGAAGGTACTGTGTCAGCCACACTGGCCAGTACCTAATATTTCCCTTTATAAAAAGTAAAATACTAACAGTTTTAAGTTGAAATGTTAACAAAAGCATTCATTAAATACTAGATATATTAAACAACGAATCCCTAAATGTCTTCCTCCCTAGTTGAAAATAAAATCAGTTTAAAATTAGACGCATCCAGAAGGATGGAGGGGAGGAAGTGGGAGGCACACCGTGCAAGTGTTAATAAGCACAAGACTCCCCAGATACGTGGTCTGTGACACTGTGGCAATTAGTACGTGCTTCTCCCTTGAGCTTCGCAACACAGGATAGCAAAATATGCCCAACCGACGCGCTCTTCACACGGGTTAGTGTTATTCCGGACAACGTTAATAGTATATAGTGCTGGCCAGTAGTTATACCTAATTAGTTATTTCAGTTATAACACGGGCTGACCCACAAAACTGGGTAAGCCTCATTCCGATTATTAACTACTATTTTTGAATGTGCTATACATGCCTTTGAGTTGGTTTATTCCTAGTTAATCCTGGCAAGTGCAGTTCAAGAGAAGAAGAAAAGATATAGTATTTTACCTGTAGTTCCAGAAGAATCTTTAAGTTGCCATTACGCTGTTTACCTACAAGGTACCCAGACTACGATTGAAGGATAACGAGAGGAGCTTATCAGGCCTCTACGACATTAGAGCTAAGCTCACAATTCTTTACATTAATGAGTAGAATACTAATACATTAGTTAACTAACTTGATGATAATCTGTAGTGTATTATTTCCACTGAATTTGGGATATATGCTACGCATTCATAATAAACCCCCCAATTATGTGTAGAGGGTAACACCCAGCATAAGATCAAAATATTAATACAGCCCACTCCTTTAATAATACAGTCTACTCAATTAAACAAATAAATTCAACTAATACCTGCTGGGAAAATCCCCCACAGTGCCTAAGGAAGTAATATCAAGTCTAAAAATAACAATGGTACTACCACCTGGCAGTGATTAGCAGTAACTAGGGAGTTTGATCTAATAGGTGGATTGATTGTGGTTTCGTTTCTTTTCTTTCCATGAACTTCATGGTTGTCTGTTTTGCTTCACTTACTTTCTGGATGTTTCCTTAGTGAAGGTGATCATTATAATCCCCTGCTCCCTGCTCCCTCTATGAGGGGATGGGGCAATGGAACCTGTAAACTATTAGGAGTCTCCTAAGGCTTATACGACTCATGTGTGGAGCCGTCTCGGCTAGTTAGCTTCAGTTACTCACCATTTGGCCCCCTCCAGATAAAATATAAATAATTTAACTGATATTTATTAAGATTTTTATCTTCCTGTTCTCTATTTGTAATAAATTTGTTATACCACTTAATTTTTTTCTGAATAACATCAACAAACTTCTGTACTGTATACCTTCTAATTATGCAACCTCCTCGCCACATAAGAGCAATACCGCCGTAGTTCAAGTTCCAGCCAAATTTAGCTGCAGCCTCCCGTAGTAACATAAAACCTTGGGCATAGGACACTATCTTGCTGGCATAGAGCGCCTGAAATATTAAGATAAATATTACGGAAAATAATTTTCTCACGTACCTGTTTACCTGTACATATCCCTCCCTATTTAATATTCAGGCATATCTTTCATGCAAGTAATAAACTAATCAATTAGCTTATTTTCAGCCATTTCATATGAAAACAAGTACTGTAGGATATAAAAACAAGAATATTACTAGGGCAGTCTCAAAAAGTGCAAATAATGCAGTTCTTTGATATTTTAATGGTACAGTATAATGAAACAGAATTGTCAAACCTAAACTAACTTACTACTGTGTATTCACTCAAAGAGCTTCACAAAAACTCTTGGAAATATGCAGAGAATAAGTTGCAATAACATGGCTGAAAATTAGACACCCAACCCATACATCTGAAAATAAAGAAAGTGAAGACTTTACAGTCTATCCTGGACCATTATCAAATTGTGTAAAGAAAGAGTGACAGAGAAAGTCAGTATATAAGGTAGGAATGTAAGGTGAACGGTAACAAGGTGAGAAGTAAACCATAAGAGTAATAGGATTAAAAACTGCAGAAAGCTCAATGGCAGAGAAAAGGTGAAATAAAGAGAAAAGATAAAAATGAAAGACCCTAGAGGGGCTAAAGCTAAGTCGGATCACATTTGTTAAGAAGGTTAGAGTATCTAACTACCGTATGTACCGAGAAAGCCAGGACTACGGTTGTCTACTTGGATATATCCATAGTGACTGATAAATTCAGTGCTATAATAATACTCTTACAATGCAAAATGAAGAGAGGTTTGCTAGGCAACAATGATATCAGTGCTACTTGCACTAATATCCAAACTAAAAAAAAAAAAAAAAAAAAAATTACAAGCAAATTTAAACATACAAAAGATCAAGACCTTGTTCTGAATGCATATAAAACATGATCAAAATCTTCACAGCATCACTAAGATTTACTATCTACCTTAGAAGACTTTACCCTCATCAATCACTCCTCACTCTTATTGACGATACTCACCTTGCTATCACTAAAGTAATTAGAAATTTTTGTTCAAGAAAATGTGCACAAATTATTCATATACAGTACATATACAATAATTAGCTCACCTTGCGTATGTTTTCAAGAAACTCTTGCTTATCCCCAGAATATTTATTTTCTCCAGGACCTTCCAAAACATTACTCGCTTTAACACGTTCATCCTGCAGAAAAGATTGTGAAGAAATACGTGTAGACAAAATTGTGGAGAACTTTGTATAACAAAGAGAATTATAATACTGTACTCTAAAGCAATTATCAAAATACAATAACTGTACACCATGACAAACACATTAAGAAATATTTAATCTAAAATTACTAAATGATGCAACACGAAAATTACAAGCCAAAATATATTACAGGCTTTTGAAATTACACTTAAGAAAACTTATCCTCTACCAATAATTACCGAATTAAATGTATACCATACAAACCTTTAGGGAAGACAAACAGCGTGCAAATACAGACTCTGCAATGAGTGTGGTTGGGGTGCCATAGTCAAGACCAGAAATTGCTGTCCATTTGCCTGTGCCCTTTTGACCAGCAGCATCCCGAATCTTTTCCACAAGTGGAGAACCTGCACATAAAGTCAACAGATAAGTTTACTATTAATTGTTTTCCAGCATTTTTATGCTGGGTTGATGCAAGTACTGTACTGTAACTATAATATCCATAAGGTGATATAGGTACAGTAGTATAATTGTTGATTTAAACTAGTTCTTTAGTGTATTTATCAATATTTATACCAAAATTGGGGACTGAGTAAAGTTGATGGCTCTGCTTGGTCACTGTAGCAAGTATAAGTTCTTGACCAAGATTGTGTAGCCATGTTCTGTTTGATGAGACATTCAAATAATTCCAAATATCCTAACAATAAGTATAAAATTAATTGAGCACACCTTAAACATAATTCAGTTCAGGGGGAGAGCCATCAGTTCAGCATTATATGTTACTCAAATTAAGTATAGTACCTGTACTGTATTCTTTATTTACTCAGCTGGACATTTAACTTTTATTGAACGGTGTACAAATTGCAGTAACCACATTCTGGACTGTATATTTATGCTACCAATATTTTGTAATTGATGTGTGTACAGCTGGAAGAGGTTGACAGTTGCAGAGCAATGCATGTAAATAACAGTTAATAGGAAGTTATTAGTCATTTGTAAGGGTCATTTGGGAGATTTTCGGTTCTCATAAGTGACAAACTCAAGATGCTTGGGTGTACTGTGACAAAAGCTGAAGACAGATTAATGATGGGAAGACTCGTGGATGGAGGTGAGAGACAGATGGATGGATAAGGGCAGCTGGTTAAAGAGGTTAATATAAAAATGGACAAACACAGTATTGTTAAATAGTTGGATGGAGGGAGAAAGACACCAAAACAAGGTTGTACAGATGTACATATTTACCATCAGTGTCCTTAAATTTCAAAATATTTGCAGTAATTTCAATAAGGAATGAATCAAGCTCTCCTTGGTTCCACTCTGTGAATACCTGGAAAAACAAATTATTAATTAACAAGAGAAATGCTAAATATTACATATATAAATGTGTGTGTATACACAAAAATTTGGTAGTGTGCTGGGGAAAAATAGGGAAGAGTAACTTGCTTCACTGCAAATTTTGTCTGTCAAAATCAAGTGTACAGCAACACTAAATATTATTTGGCTTTGACTTTAAGATGATGAAAGTAATAATTTATAGTCTACTAATGTGAGTGCTAATTAATACTAAACAAAGGATACATTGTTATAACACATTTCAACTGTTCACCAATGTGCAGTACAGTATATGTATTACATTTAAATGCCTAAATTAGTTGCAAAATGATAATTTAAATTTGTACAGAATATATATATATATATATATTTTTAAGCAATTAACAAGACTTCAATCCTCACACTCCATTTACTTTTAAACTAGTGTTCCCAAGTCTCCAATTACTGTACTATTTGTGGCAAAATTTAAAATGCTCTCTGGCTAAAACTTCGTTGTAAATTATATTCATACCATTGCATGAAACTTTATTAAAGGTCTTTTGTATTCCCTAAATTAATCCACACTATGTACAGTTTTAATATTTTTAGGTTTTAGCATGTTCAGTATTTGAATTACTGCATAACTAATGTTTTCCTAAACTGATTTCTAGAATATAGTTAAATATTAATATAGTTTTCACTTTTAGTTTTTACAATACCACACCAACAAGTTTAACAATAACTTGAACTGCCCTCATTATTCTTTAGCAGGTCAAAATCTCATTTCATAGTGTCTTAGTCATCGTAATACTTACTAGTGTTAAAATAAAGTAAATTTCAAACTTCAACCATTGTGCATTTTCCAAACAATACAGTACAATGGGATTTTGCTCGGATCATGATAGATTTGAAGCCTTAGTGGGCCAAAAAGAATTGGTTAATGGAAGAAATTCATTAATATTACCTCACTCATTTCATCACAGTCTATGCCAAGGCCAGACTTCATTAGGTGGTAAGCTTCACAGATGAGCTGCATGTCTCCATATTCAATACCATTGTGCACCATCTTCACATAATGACCAGCTCCATCTTCACCAACCCAATCACAACAAGGCTCACCATTTGACCTAGCACAGATGCTCTGCAATAACAAAAACTCTTTGTAATAAAATAAGAAACTATATACTGTACAAGAATGCATACAGATACAGTACTGTACTCCAAGTCATAAGAGTAATGTGGGATATACAATGTGATCCACTTATATATCCCACTAACTTCTTGTGAGAACAATATACAGTTAATACTGTTCACTAACAATTGTAATACTGTATTCATATTTCATTTTGTTTTTAGGCAATATAATATTATTATGGATCCATAGCTATTGCTGGAAGAAATGGGTGGCATGGACCAAGTTTATGGTTGGGTTAAATATACACACCATTTGTTTCAGCAGACAGACATTTAGACGACCCCGCCTATCCTTTGGCAGAGAACAATTCACATGCAGTAATATAAATTATGCTTAACTGATATACTTGTGTACAAATATTAAAAGTATTTGTACACAATCTCCTTACCATCAAATATCAGTGGACACAGTCTAAAATGTGTAAAAAATATAAATAATGCATACACAGTATTTCATTATTAAGTTTCTAAATATGATTTTAATTTTTAGATCTTCAGTCCTATTTGTTTTGTTCACAATGAAGAATCTGTAGGTGGCTTGTGCATCACTATCTTTTCCATTGCATACAGAATTTATCTCTAATCATCTTTTTTTTTATAGAAAACTTAATACATACCAATATTAATTAATACTGTACAATTCAGTATCTTAACTCCTATCTTTATCTACATTATTACAAATTTTGATGAATCTCTAACTTGGCTTTCATTCCCTCATCCAAATTCTATTCATTCAAGTTCCTCGTATCACATTATACTCTCATTACTATTCTTAAACTTTTTCCCTTGATTCTGACAATATTAAGTCTCGTACAATATTTCTAGTTTGGAGCATTCTTACCTGGAATATATCCTTGATGTAAGGCCATGCCTCTTTATGGCCACCAGGCATAAGAGAAGGACCATAACGAGCACCTTCCTCCCCACCCGATACTCCAGAACCAACATACAGTAGGCCCTTCTCTGCAAGCTCTTCACACCTGAAATAAAATAGTAATTACTGAATAACGACTTGAGATTTTATCCTAAACTGTTAGTACGAGCAGGTAAATAATTATTGAAAAGTGGCTTAGATAATTTTAACCACTTAATAATACAGCAATAATATGGAAATCATCTTAATCTTTAACTAACATTATATTTAATATTTCATTATCTTGCATGCATTTGTATCATGTTCAACATTACTTACATTTAACAGTCCATCTATAAATAATTATCAATACCTGTTGTAGTGTTACAAGTTCATTAATAATGGTAAAGTTTTATTGAATACTGTACAGCACATTTGTATGCTTGTGTGGCTATAATTCAAGCAAGCTTTTTTGATCAATAAGATCATAAGAAAACAATTAAAACTGTTCCAACAATTACAAAATTCAGTAAATACCATACAGCATTTAATACCCTAGTTTTAAATAATATAGATGTAAAGGTAGAAATATGGAAAAGTATTAAAGATATGTAAAGACATGCAAATCTATATACCTGTAACAGTCAAGAGTTTGATTGCAATAGAAAAGGCACAATGCACTGTTGTCTAAAGTTGCTCTAGAATAACAAAAAAGCAAATGTGAAACTATTTTATAATTTTAACTTATTCAGGAAATCAGAAAAATGTTGTATGTGATGCTAGAAATGATATTGAAATTTTATCTACACCTATATAGGTGGTGAAGAGGATAAGTTCAAATGATGGCTCACACTTATCTAGTAAATAGGTGGGACCTGAAAAATTTGGCGACTCAAAAGTGCAGTCCACACAGGGGACACAGCAGGAGGACTGAGTAGTACTGACATGGAAGCTGGCTGCTCCAATAGTGCTGCCACCTATCAGTGGTCAGTTGTAACAAGGAAGAGGAAAATACCAGAAGAAAGTGCCAAGCCATTATGACTATATAGCACTGGGAAGGGATCAGGATAAAGATTTGAGATGGGATGGGGGAAGGGGGGTGGAAGGAATAGTGCCGAACCACTTAAACGGTCCGGGATTGAACGCCAACCTGCATGAAGCAAGATCGTCGCTTTACATTCTAGAGGGGGGGGAGGGGTTAGAACTGATTACCCGGTGGATTGTTTGCACAGTTTGCTGCTTTCTTTTTCTTTTATCTATGAAACTTGTAGTTGTCTGTTTTTCTTCACTTACATTCTGGAGGTTTCCTTTGGTAAGGGTGATTGTAAACAATACCCTACTCTGTATGAGGGGGAAGGGGAGGGGCCATGTTCTGGATCTCCTGTAAGCTATTAAGGATTTCTAAGGCCAATGTGGCTCACAGGTATAGAGCTATCTCAGTGTGGCTAGCTAAAGAAAGCAACCATTCAGCCTCTCCAGAACCAGGGTGGGAAATAAAATTCAGAAGACGATTCAAAATCGCTTCAAGGCAATCTATATACTGTAGTCTTTCATAAGACAAAAAATTTGCAAATGCAGTTTAATGCTAAACTTTTCTTTAGGGTTTTGAGCTTGGGTAATGATGGCCGATATCAGATATCAGCTGGATAATCTTGAAATTGCAAAGTCTGAATGCAAAATAGATCCTGGAGTTATGATTAGCAGGTATCTAAAGCCGAAAAAAAATGCACAAATGGTCAGAGTAAGGCAAATATAGAATTCCTGGGATATATTTCTAGAAGCATTATCAATAAAACAACAACAACTGTTTTTTAGCATTATCTTGCTCCTGTTAGGGCCCCATTTTCATTATGCTGTTATTTTTTTGCTGCCATACTATAGAACAGACAAATTTACTTGAATGGGTATTGAGAAGCATAAAGTTAATTTCACAAATTAGAAGCCTCCAATATGAAGAGTGATTAAGAAAGCTTAACACTTTTATGAAGAATTAACAACAAAACAAGCATTAACTTTCATCAAAAGGTTAAGAAAGCTAGTGACCAGTGAACTATACAATTGTTCATCTCACCTCCTCTGTGTGTCTTGGTATTCTGAGTTACCACCGTCAATTATTATATCTCCTTTGTCCAAGAGGGGGACCAGCTTATCAATGAAGCTGTCCACAGCTGCTCCAGCTGAAATATGTTAAAATACTAATGATAACCGAGAAGAACAATTACTGTACAACACTTTAAACACAATTTTATAATGACTCGCTATATTATTTATACTAAAATTTAATTAACATAATTCCTCTCCTTTCTTTAATATGCCAGTTAGTGTACAGTCCCTTAGCCAACAGTCAAATCAACATTTATATTACAGTACCTTATATATTAATTCATTCAATATTTTGAATTCTGTATACAGTATTTAAATCACTAGTAGAGGTACCAGGCTTTACGTGAACAAAGAACATGGACTGACCTTCCCCAAACCTTCCCCTGGGTGTCACCCAGACCTAATCCCATAGGTTACATTATAAAACAGTCACCAACAGTGTAGATCCTCAATATAAACAATTGCCATTACTGTATGGACTCACACATAAAATGTTCAATACATTCTTCAGTGAAGATCTCACTATACACTCTTCCACAAATTTTACTAGATGATGATGCAACAATTGCTGTATGTAACAAGGTTTTAATGCACTCTCTGGTGCTGTTTAATAATACAACAAATTGGCTATAGATTTTCTATTGCAGATATATATATATATATCTGCTCTTCATGGAAAAACAAAAGAATTACTAAAGGAATATGTCTCAAGATGACATAAGGGACATAGAACAGACCAGATAATGTTTAGACATAGCTCCTTGGAGGCTTTTCTTTCACAGTTGCCTGTTTGTAGTGAAGCTTCTGGTAGGACAAGGCATCAGATATAATGTAGATAGTATAAATCATGATCTAGAGATTCATTGAGAAATTATAACTTGAGCTGATATATCCATAAATGCTCACCTTTGACAAGGATCATGATACGGCGTGGCTTCTTGAGCTTCGAAACCATTTCTTGAAGTGAATGGGCTCCAACAATTTTTGTATCTTTTGCTTCATTTGCTAGGAACGCGTCTACCTTCTCTGTAGTGCGGTTGTAAGCACACACAACCCAACCATGATCATTCATGTTAAGAATAAGGTTCTGCCCCATCACCGCCAACCCAATAAGGGCGATGTCTGCACTGCAAAACAAGAATACTATCATTAGCTTTAACTGTTGCAAAAGATATTATATTTTAAAGGTTAAAAAGTAATTATTTGTAAATCAGATACTGTCAACAAATAATATCTATGAAATTATCTTATTTCACCACAAAATTAAAGGCTTCATATAAATAATTATGTTCATCACATCACATTACCATATAACATAATATTTTGATATTCTGGCTACTAAAGTTAGAATATTAAATAAAAAAACTGGATCATAACAATGATAAAGATACTGCACAGGAATGTCAATATAAGACCTGGTATACAAACAGCACTTTTAGATGTTATGTGCCAAGGAAAATTCTGTAATTAAAGTTTAAAAAATACTGTACTGTCAGATTGAGTTCTTGGTCAATATAATAAGGAAAAGCTTTAATTTTTCAATGGGGTGCTTAAGAAAGTGTATTTAAAATACCCAACTCTCATTGAGCCTGTTTTGCATATTTTTACATTAATAATATTCATTGCAACATTTCAAGAATACAATAACCTTCAGTCGTAATCCTTACTTTGAACACAGCTCTTAAAAATTACAGTATTGGAAAAATTAAATAACAATGAAAGGCATATTTATGATATATATACACCAACATACTGGCATTAGCTTATCATACTGGCAACACATGTCTATCATACTGGCAACACATGTCTATCATGTGCACTTTATCTGAGAACCAAGTGATCAACACTATCACTAAATGCAAGGTCAAAGTAAAAAACTATTTATGACCACATTTATGATAGCTTAAACATGTTCCCAAGCCACTTGGAGAGATTGGCACAGTACCTTCACCCCGTCCTCACATCCCAGATCCTTGTCCATGTATCTCTTCTAAATGATATAGTATAGCCATATTGGCTTAGCACTTTCTCTTGATAATTGTCATAAGCACTTTCTCCTGATAATTATCATAAAGCAGTAATTCTAAAGCAGTCATTGAAGTCCAGGACCTTTGTACAATTAGCATAAAACAAACTTAATCTTTGGAAAATGTTTTAAATAAATGGTAGCTGGCAACAATACCTTAAAGGTGGTAAACGAAAGAAATGGGAATCACTGTCCATTTTGCCTATTAGCATGCACACAATTACTATGAAAATTGCCTGAAGCATTAATTCAAGCTTTACTGCAGTTGGAGCTCACTATACAGCAAGCATATTATGTAAATGGCAAAACATCCAAATATAAATATTGTGCCAATTTGTAAACTGTACAGTCCTTTATAACGACCAACTACTCAATAAAAGAGCAACAAATCTGAGATTCAATAAAATGCAAAACAAGCAGCAGCATGCAGCTGCATCAGCCCACAGCTGTACAGTATATTTATATTTATATATATATATATATATATATATATATATATATATATATATATATATATATATATATATATATATATATATATATATATATATATATATATATATATATATAATATATAATAAAATATATTAGTAAAATATTAGTATAACTTGGAAGAATATAATCAATATTAAAACAAATTTATTGCAACACAGGACACGATGCAAGTTCCTTGCATTATTTTGATCTACATTGATAATGACTTCAGCCCTTGGTTTAGGTGGAGATGTATAACAGAGAAGCTTATCACCTCGTGTTGTAACAACGGCCTTTAAATGATGTACTGAAGTGAGCGAACATGACCTAAGTAAATCTGGTATGCATGTAAGTGGCTTTGCACGAATGTAAAAATACCAGTCTTATGTGATCTCACCAACCCATTGTACCTTCTTGTAAATAAAAATTATTATTATTATTAACCTACTGACACACTCATAGAAAACGTGATTGTTCCTGAGCTGGCATGATTTATAGTACCATGTTATTTGTCCATTGGGGACTTTGACGTCACTATGAGATGTATTATTTGAGAGGATGCGGGGGAGGGGGGGGTCTGGGGTACGAGGGCATAGGCTGGTTGGGTGTATGTCCAAGTTAAATGCTTTAAGAAATATTAACTATTATAAAGACCCTTATGCCAGTTTCATGAAATCCCGTGTGATATATTTACAGTCTCCGTGGTGTAGTGGTAAGACACTCGCCTGGCGTTCCGCGAGCGCTATGTCATGGGTTCGTATCCTGGCCGGGGAGGATTTACTGGGCGCAATTCCTTAACTGTAGCCTCTGTTTAACGCAACAGTAAAATGTGTACTTGGATGAAAAAACGATTCTTCGCGGCAGGGGATCGTATTCCAGGGACCTGCCCGAAACGCTACGCGTACTAGTGGCTGTACATGAATGTAACAACTCTTGTATATATCTATATAAAAAAAAAAAAAAAAAAAAAAAAAAAAAATATATATATATGGCGTGATTTCCGTGGAGTTGTTGCTGAAAAGACATATAATGTAATAGGAATTTGAGATCCATACATTTGTTTCAGTGCTTTTTGAGGGGGTAAGGGGGGTGGAAAATAAGAAGAGACGAAGTGGGGAGACAGAGATAGCTAGCTAGAGTGTGTGACAATGACAACATACAAAAAAAAAAAATATATATATATACTGAAGGGGTTGAACAAACTTGGACGTAAAGCTAATGCCGGCTGCTCCTTACCACATGCAATGCTGTCTCTTATATCATATTCTATCATTATGTCAATAGTAAAAACAATTGATATAACCTACAAATTATGATAAAGACGGTGGCTAGCACTTTAACAAATCAAAGTTAATGGCAGTACCACTATTTTAATAAGTACACAGCTTGAATTATTGTTTAACTATATTAAACATTTTGAGGTGCACTAAACACTTGTGTAACTATTAAGACGTAAAAATAATGTAAAAATCTTAGGTTAAGACAAGATATTCGAGTTACAGCTCCGCTCCTGTGCCAGATAAGTCCACTACGGGCTCACCATAGCCCGTGCTACTTGCACCTTTTTGTTCCGAGTTGCTGAATCTAAAACAACAACAACAACACAAGATTCCATTCATCTGGGCTGTAAGAGGCTCGAACCGTGGACCCCACGCGTGTAAGGCCGAAGCTCTATCAACTGGGCTACGAGTAGTCTTAATAAGGAAAGTTTACTTATTAAGGAAACACAAGATATTATGAGAGTTGGCTTTCATTACTACCGACGCAAGAGATAATGTGAAGCTCAATTAAAGGCTGCCAGAGATAAGTCGCCTGGTGATCACGAACTCAATTAAGTGCTTTGCACACTTGGAGACAACCCAATTTCTGGGCTCTCTCGTGTCGAATGTCGTCCGAACTTTCTCGTTTCATGCAAGATGTCGGTGACGTAGTTTTAAACACAAGTGACACTAATCCATTGTCTCCCAAAATTAGAGGACCAGCCAGTCCTTCCTTAGTTACGGCAAATTAAAAATAATAGGAATACAAACTCCAAAGTGAAAGCTCAGTATTAACACAGTGAGAAATACTGGGGCACAGGTTTGGTCAGGTGATGATGTAAAAGGGTAGAGGTGATTAGATCACGTGTGCTGGACACCACTAGCTGAGAGGCGTGCGTGCGACACACACACACACACACACACACACACACACACACACACACACACACACACACACACACACACACACACACACACACACACACACACACAGATATAGGATGTGGTAGTGGGGGGGGGGAAGGGGAAGAGAGGTGTGATCGAGAAAGGAAAAAGAGAGATGAATGCGTGTGGTCTTTGGTATTCTTTATGGTCACTTCGGGACAAGATTTTCAGTTTAGATGCCTTCTCCCTCCCTTTCCCCCTTTCCTCTCTCTCTCTCTCTCTTTCTCTCTCCTATTCCTCCCTCTCTTCTAGCAGCCACACCCTAAGTAAACACAAATATGAACATAATTATGCCCCAAAATAACTTGACAAATCACTTCGGGTACACCAGAAAGAAATGTTTAACTATACAAACTCTACATGTTACGAGTCCCACTAAACTTCTACTGACACTATTGAAGTTGAACCTCGCTTCGTCATTGGTTTACAAGGCCAGTGAACTCCTCAACCTTCATAATTGCCCCTGCGTTACTTACTGTTAAAAATGAGCCCTAATTATGTACTTAATCAGCATACCTTTCATTTACGACAATAAGTCACAGTATTGTGGGTGAAAATTACACACCCAACCAACACATTGTTCTCGTCTTCATGATGACCGGGCCATACCTCTCCCCTCCCCTTTTTCCAAATATATTCAAAGCACAACATTACAAGTGTTCAAAATACATAGTTGTGTGCACGTGTATCTAAACCTTCAAGAGAATGTCTGATCATCTGTACAAAGTTGGAGGCCAGAGGCTTGAGGCTAGCCCAAGCCTCTGGCCTTCCCACTAAGTTTGTAGGGGGGAATAGGCTGGGGGTACTTAACGGAGATAAGCCTAACCCCCGACCAGCCTAAGTTAAATTTTTAAGAACCCCTACCCAAGTTTAATTTTCATAAAGTTTGAAATAAAATTGTGGGTGTGTTTTCCGTAGAGTTCACTGCACATATTTCTAAGAGTTACTCTTAAAGATGGCCTGAATTCATTCAGGTTAGTGATGAAAATAGTAAGGAGGGAAGATGGTTGCAGTGACGAACACAGTATATACAGTGAAGATGTAACATGGGGGAAGATGAGGGGGGGGGAGGAGCGGCAAATTTAAGACATAAACAGAGACTGAGGTAGATATAGAGATGATAGGGATAGGGAGCGAGAGAGTAACTACCTAACTACTGTGTGCCTATTTACTGCTAGGTGAACTTCTAGAGGCATCAGGTGAAAGAAACGTGCCCCAACCATATCTATCCGACCCGGAAGATCGAACCTTGGCTCCTCAATAGTGAGTCAGGAACGTAGGCAACTTCCGACTACAGGACCATTAAAATAACATTCTGTAATAATTACTCTAATATACTTATTGACACTTATAAGCAATAATTTTCAACAATTATCGATAATCACTGTTGTCAGTGAAAGTGGGAGTGATTCGTCACTGCCAAAGTGATTAGTGTGCAAGACCTGAGTAAATTTTCACCAGCCTACGTCATTGCTACTCTCAGTAAACCCAAGCCATCGCCACCCTGCTCATCCTATCCTAACTCAAATAAGGTGATAAAATGTTTTGTTTATATATGGTATGCACACGGTGTGTCGTCACTACATCATTTTATTCAGTGTTTTAGATTTTTGTGTGGAGTACTCCAAGGTCGCCACCTTCACACGTGTTGAGTCACACACATGCTTTATATTTGAAAATGTTGAAGTCGTTCGATAGGATTGAACCTCCATCCCAGAGTTCATCTCGTACAATATTTGAATCATGAATATATCACGTTCTTGTGATTCATTGTACTCTCTGTAATATGTAATTCTTAAATCTACGAGAGGGGGACAAGGTCGACAATTTACACAGTACATGACATTACTCTAAAGCATATAAATACTAATTTTATAGCAATTTAGTAAGAGAATTGTTGAAGCATTAACATCATCCCAGAAAGCTGAAGATTTATGTTTATGGTTAATGATACCAGTCAAACACCAAGCAATTTTGAAAGATAGTGACCTAAAGGTAATGGCACCCAACACAGTTTGACCATAATTTAGTCTGCACACCAAGCCCATCCTGTGAGCGACAGTGTACATAAAAGGTTACAAGAGAGAGACACACAATGGGCTCCAGAACAGAGCCCGATATGAACAATTCCCAGAGCCGTCATTACTTGGACTACCATGATGAAAGTGTCTACGTTATGACGGAACTCTTAGGGAACACTCAATGTGTGCCTTATGAGTAAGACAAATTGTAAGCAAGTATGTTCCATCATTCTTGAGAATTTGTTTATAATGACAATTTAGTTCGTAAACTGTCAGCCAGAATACTACACAGAACAATATTTTTATCCTCATGCTAAATTGTTGCAAGTTTCATGTCAATACAAGATGTTCAAAGTATCACAATCCAATATTTGATAAGGAAAGGAGAGCAATAGTAATAAATAGGCATGACAATCATTCAATATCTCCCTATATCAGAGAGCGTAAGTCACCATCATTACAATAATTAATAGGATCATCTTTATTACAACCACTGTCAACACTAGGGGTTACTTACACGGCGTCTGTCCTGCGCATGGCCGCAGTCTTTATGGTGCGGCAAGGTGCGTTCCCCATGTTGAATACAGCAGGTGGCCGCGTGCGCGCCTCGCCAACACGCACTGCTGCCTTACCGGGTCACCCCCGCCACCACACACGGGGGAGGGCCGCCACCCCACTGTTGCTTTAGTCCCTCACGGTATCACTTACAAATGTCTTCCTCAAAACACACGATGAGTCAATGACGATACTGAGGGGATACTATTCTGGAGACTTTACTAGGAAAGGCTGCTTAATTGCTCCCTCACAATAACACAAATTGTAACCACTTTGTTATTCACTACTGAGACGTTTTCCGGCTCATCTACCATACACTAATTCACAACTGAAACACGAGATGATGGTAAGTAAGGCACGCGCATCACTAGAGGCACTTGTCACTGGGCCCTTTCTCCTTTTCTCGGGGCTGACTCACTGGTTCCTCCAGTCTTGAGTAAAGCGACAATTAGCAAGACAGCGTCACGCGGGACTCCCCGTCGCTGTGTTCAAGGTCACTTGCAGTGTTTCCTTGTTAGAAGTATGTTGAAACGTTGCTGACATCACCAGAGAACATAAGTGTGCGACGGAATCAGGGCTCATGAACACGTGTCACAATCTACACATCATATATTTACAACTTCTACAATCTACATCTGAAATATGATTAATTAATGTACACCTAATGAGAACATGAAATATCACATATTCATTTTTTGTTTTTGCCATTAGAAGCATGTGCTCGTGTTTAGATCCAATAGTGATTACATTCATTATGTTAAAGGTAGACGAGGCTGCGACCGCCACTACCAAGGCTTCTTGCTCCGTCCTGAGTGCGCGACCAAGGCGCGCTCTCTCCCAGTGTGTATACACAGACATATTACTATAGCATGTATGTCTGAAGGGAAGAGCCAGAGAAACCCGAGGCCCAAACACTCCTAGTACTGTAGTCAATAGGCCTTAAACGTTTAACACCTAACAATCTGTTTGGCGTGTACGTTCATTGAGGAAATGAGCTTTTCCTCTAAGTCACACTGCCGCATGTTACTCCAAGTAGTTAATCTTGTTTTAAATACTGATAAAACCTGTAGTTTGGGCAAAATCGTCGCACAGGTGAATGTTGGACGTCAAGGGACAAGTCCACATTGGGACTTGCCTTGCTTAAAGCCTAGGTGGTCGCTGAACTCTTCACTACGAGCTCTAACTCCTTCAGTAATCCTCACCACTTTCTCCCGCCAACTTTCCAGACATCATAACAGCCTTTTATTATACGAATACGCCCGCCTCCTGAGGGAAACTCCTAGAGATGCTCGCTCTCGTATAAATTTACGCAAATATGTTAAATTAGATATGTTTAATGGGGAAAAATAATATACGTTAGTGTTTTACGGCTGGCCGACCAGTGTGGCTGACGGACGGACCGACCGAGTGATTCCTAAGATTCCACCCAACCCAACATTCTCCTACATTACAAAATGTCACAAAACTCAAGAGAGGCAATCACTTGTGCGACCAGTGTAATTACGAACCAGGCAGCGCAGAATGGAACCCGCCCAAGCTCTCCCAAACTGATCCCAATAATTACAACTTGACCCAAAATCGATACATTCCTGTGTGGCGACGGAGAGTGGGAGACTGGTTCCCAGGGGAAGGCTGGGAGAAGAAGAAGAGAAGGTGATGTAGAAAAGGGATGATGATGGTAGAGGGATGGAGGAAAAGAGATGACTGAGGAAGGAAGGGAATAGGAGGGGAAAAGACCCGAGGAGAAGAGAGTGGGAGACATGAGGAGAGAGCTAGGGAATACATAAGTTAAGGAAGAGATGTGAAAAAAAAGAGATGGGAGGAGGAGGGTGAGTGTGGCAGTATTCGACACCATTATTCAGGAAGTAATCGGAAGTCTTTGTGGCATCCCCGAGACAGAGTGACTACTGACGCTTTACAAACACCACTCCACCCTGCTCCCCCAGTACCAACTACTGAAGTGAGGGGTGTAGAGAGGAAACCCCCCAGAGAGTGTGAGGAGATACTAGAAAGTATGAGGAGCCCCCAGGGAGAACGAGGAGACCCCAGAGAGGAATGAGAAGGCCCACAGGATGTGAGGAGGCCCACAGGATGTAAGGAGGCCCCACAGGGTGTGCATAGGCCCCAAAGAGAGTGAGGAGGTCCCAGATTATTTCACGCTGGTGTAAGAAGAGTGGATTGTAGAGTGAGTGAGCCCTTACCAGTGAAGGTGGGTCACATCCGGGGTAACAACACCAGGTAGCTGGAACTCGTCCTCCATGAGTGGAGAGAGGAACAGGCGAACGATGGTGTGCACGAAGTCTGGTCGCGTCCCACAAGCCCAGGCCAGAAAGTGGAAACAAGCATATATTTCCTTTGACGCCGATCCACCTTGAAGGTTGTCTAGCGAGCGCACCTACATATGTATGTACATCTTGCCTGGTCCCGTTACGAGTACTGGATATGATAAAACACACACACACACACACACACACACACACACACACACACACACACACACACACACACACACACACACACACAACCGAGTACCCAAATGAGCCACAGGGACGTTAGAAAGAATTTTTTCAGTGTCAGAGTAGTTAACAGATGGAATGCATTAGGCAGTAATGTGGTGGAGGCTGACTCCATACACAGTTTCAAATGTAGATATGATAGAGCCCAGTAGGCTCAGGAATCTGTACACCAGTTGATTGACAGTTGAGAGGCGGGACCAAAGAGCCTAAAGCTCAACCCCCGCAAGCACAACTAAGTGAGTACACACACATTCGTGAGTACAACAACCAAGTGAGTACTAGTGCACACAATCTCCCTATGCACGCGCGCGCATCCCCCCCCTTCTTTCTCCCTCAGTCTGAGAGGTCAGTTGCAACTGAGAGCAGCACTTGCCTAATAATGTGCACGCGCGCGGCTAATTAAAAAAAAAAAACATACACCAGCTGAACCTGTCAATAGGCCACAGAAAGCTATGTCACGCTCCCAGGAGCTGAATGTTAACAGCTTCGTCTCGTAACACATGAAACAATAAATGTAACAGCGAAGCCCAAGAAACAGTGAAGCCACAATAAAGGAGTCAATTGCTAATATAACCCTCAATACAAATAATACAGGGTGCTGTAACCTCGAGAGGGAGCACAGCAGGGCATACCCGACCCACTCTCTCGCTCGACACTACGGTGATACTCATGGTATCAACTACACGGTATTTGAAGACACGGTCGGCCTGACCTGCCACTCCAGTCACAGGCAGTGAAGGACGACTGGGCTCCGTTATCCCCTGCTCGTCCTTGTACTCCAGCAGTAATTGGGAACCTGAATGTAAAACAATCAGAGGATTGTTTTCTGGAGACAACGCTGTATGCATGGCCGAAGTTACGAGGAGTTAAATATTACCAGGGTATTACCATGGCAGGATAAATATTACCATGGCAGTAATTAAATATTTCCACCTCACACACACAGTGAGGCGGGATATTTAAGACAGTGAGGGTAGAGTTGGGGAAGCTATTATCCCTTGAAAGATGAGAAAGGGACAGAAAAGCAATCTGAAAATAACTTTGCAGATAAAGCTAAGACCCAAGCCAAACCGGTCAACCACCATAACATTAAAGGAACAATTGAGAGCGCTAATGAGCTCAACACAATTATAAGAATGTGTGGGGGAGAACTCATTCATATCAAAGATGTTTTTACAAAAATACAAAATGGGAGACAAATGCTAAAAAATGGCTACTAGTTTAACTCCAGCAAGTGTAAAATAAAAAAAAATGGGTTTTGGCGATAAGCCAGACACAAGGTACTTCTTGGAAGGGAAAACTCTCAGTGTTGGAGCAAGAAAAAGACCAAGTCAGACATCCCCTGATCCAGTCTCCAGAGGCATGCATTTGCTGGAAAACACCAGCTGAATATATAAATTTGACCAACATAAAAAACGCCTTCAGAAAACTCAACAAGGAATTATTCAGGAGTATATAACACACATGTCGAAGCAGTTCTGAGATTTACGATGCCAGCGTGAGGTCACTTGACTGACACAATACGAAGCAGGAGGAACTCCAGAGATCTGCCACCTGGCTAGTCCCATAACAGATACACGTTACATGGTAATATAGCAGGACCTAAACCATCAGAGGACCTAACCATCACATCACTAGAAGAGAGAGCAAAGATAATAAAGCACAAATAACTTAGGACATTTGACTAGGTAGACAAGGACATTATACATTTGAAATAGGTTATGAGCAAGAAGACACGTGGTAACTAAGGACCTGAGTGGGCCACAGGATTATATTATAAAGAACATCTATTGTCATGTGGTTGAGACTAACTCTTATATTTTGAAAGTAAATTCAAATATGCCAAAACCCTCGTAGACAACAGCTCTGAGTACATCTCTCATCCAGCACAACTTTCCCCTCCTCCCCCACCAAACACACACACACACAACTAGGTGAGTACACACAGACGGGGCTCAGTCTAACACACTTTCACTGGAGACTAAGACTGGTCCAGTTCTAGAGCGCACACGTACAACAGACTGACACCTAGCGGCCGCTGCCCTACCTGTGGAACGAGAGCAGCCACTCTCCACCTGCGCCATCGATCACTACATTCCCACCTCAATATTTGATACCACCCTCGCTACTCCTCCCACTTGTCTACTTCACAATAACACAGCTGGTAATGTGCACACGTTATGCACCGTGAATGGTCTTAACTTGGACAATGTTTCCTTCAACGGGAATGTATTCTATTGGCGTCACGCTCAGTGTTGTGGCTCGTACTGGCGTCACGCTCAGTGTTGTGGCTCGTACTGGCGTCACGCTCAGTGTTGTGGCTCGTACTGGCGTCACGCTCAGTGTTGTGGCTCGTACTGGCGTCACGCTCAGTGTTGTGGCTCGTACTGGCGTCACGCTCAGTGTTGTGGCTCGTACTGGCGTCACGCTCAGTGTTGTGGCTCGTACTGGCGTCACGCTCAGTGTTGTGGCTCGTACTGGCGTCACGCTCAGTGTTGTGGCTCGTACTGGCGTCACGCTCAGTGTTGTGGCTCGTACTGGCGTCACGCTCAGTGTTGTGGCTCGTACTGGCGTCACGCTCAGTGTTGTGGCTCGTACTGGCGTCACGCTCAGTGTTGTGGCTCGTACTGGCGTCACGCTCAGTGTTGTGGCGCGTACTGGCGTCACGCTCAGTGTTGTGGCGCGTAATGTCATGTTCTTCCCAAGATCTTAATGTTCTGATCGTTACTGATGATACAGTTCACATTATCCAGTGACGCGATGCTCATCAAT